TAAGGATAGGTAGGTGAATCCCGGAACTGTTATGAAGCCTCTTGTTCCAAGTCCAAGCTCTCCTGGCATCTTGTGGTAGGAATTATTTGGTCACCTCTCCTTGTCCTGCAGCGACCTGTTTCTTGTTTGCTAGTCAAGCTGCGTCTATACTTTTCTTTTTATTGGTAATCCATTTTAATAAATTTAAAAATTATCAAGAAATCATTTTAGGCTTACAGAAAATCTTCCTATAGGATATCATATTATATAATATTGTACCTGTTGGCAAACATTTATTTTATCCCATTTTCCCATTTTCATGTTCTCTTTATCCTCCTCCTCCTCTACCTTTTGAATCACTTGAGAATATGTCCATACTCCATAGTCCTTTAGTCTTGAATACTTCAGCATATATTCCTTAAGGAAATCCTTTTATAGAACCATAGAATTATTATTTTCATTTACCAGTCACTCCTGCATGAAATGAACTGAATTATGCAAACAAAACTGAATTATGAGAATCAAAATTTCAAAATTTCATCTTTAGGTCTTTGAGAGTACAACAGACTCAGAGTTTTCAGATAGCTTTCAATTGGATTCTTGTGTTCACCCCAGTTTGTCTGTTATAAAAACTCAGGGAGTAGTAAGAAGACCAATAATATCATTGCTTACTATGTGTGAGACACTGTTCTAAGCGTTGTGTACGTAGTGATGAATTTAATCCTTATGACAACCTTAATGGGCTGCACCATGATTATCCTCATTTTATACATGGGGAAATGTTGGCATAGAAGCTAGATACCTTGCCCATAAATACATAGTTGATAAGGGAGATTTGGACTCAATCTTTTTCAGTACATTTTTTATATCTCTTTGTTACTTTTCTGTCATTCTGTCTGTCTGTCTCTTTGTCTCTCTTTCTCTGTACATTCAGCCTTCTTACATTTCATAATGTTTTCTCTAAAGATTATCCCATGTTACTTGTTTCTTATTATTGATTGCTTCTCACTGTATTGCTCCCCAGGAGAGAAGTCATCCATTCTCTTGATGTGTTTATTTTACAGCTGAGGAAAAGGTGACCAGTCTCAGGAGCCCGGAAGAATGGACTCAGCGGAGGCTGTTTACATGCTCTCCCACTCACCAGCTGTTAAGTGTCTGCAGGAGCAGAACAGGATCTCATTACTTCAATGGAAGCATGCGACAAGGTTCCCCAAGCACCAATAGCCGACTGGATTTGCTGCAGTGGGGCTGTCTAATAAATGATTCATCAGAAGCATTTGATAATAATCTGTCTTGCAGCAGTATCATCAAACTTCATGTTGTTTTCTCTTCTAGCCTTGTGCATGTGAAAGAGATTCCTTCTGCTTCTTGTCTAGTGCCAGTGTTGGCCTGAAGTCTAATCCACAATTCTCTTCATTCAGCCTAGACCTGTCATTGCTTCTTGGCCTTTTGACCAAGATTACGTGCAGCCTAGACTTGTTCTCTTTGTGCTATTTATAGAGCTGATGAGGGTTAATAACTACTATTTATTGAGGGTTTGATATTCCAACCATTAGGATAATGCTCTATAGCCCTGTTAGTTTGTGCCTAATATCTCTAATTTGTCCATAAAGAAAGGGAAGCTCAGAGAGGTTGCTGGCTATGGTAAGATCATGCAGTTGCGAGGGATAAGATTCAGAGTCTAAGTATAGTTCCACAGCCCCTCTTCAATAATACTTTATACTCTGCTCCCTACTGCTCCAGAGACAGTATCATCACAGGTATTATTCTATAGTATTCTTCTGTAATATTTCATGAAAGCGGTAGGGGTTGGCTGTGCACATACAAGAGTCTTAGAGAGAGGATCAGAGAAACTCTAGAAGAATCATGGAATTATTTTCTAAGCAAAATCACACTATGCTCTGTGGCCTGTGAGTCAAATCCAGCCCTTCTGTCTATTTTTGTAAATAAAGTTTTGCCAAAACAAATAGCCATACCTAATGCTTTACAAATTGTCTTATGGTTGCATTCTTTCTATTATGGCTGATTGCATAATTGTGACAGAGACCATCTACCCCTTTTAGAAAACATGCACTCACCTGGATTAAATGATTTCTGAAAGAAAGTTGACAGTTTTTGTTAAGACTGACTTTATTATTTTTTCTCTAAAGAGCTCTCAATGATAGCAGTCACCCACTGCAGCACATAGGCCATAGATTTGCTGCCATAGGCTTAGGTAATCGCTTGTAGGGGTGGTCAGGGCCAGGTGTGTTGGGGGACCTAGCCAGGAAAAGGAAAAGGCAAGGAGTAGGACTTGTGCCTTTGGGTAACCAGGCAACTGCTCCCCCCAGACTCCTCCCCTCCCACTCATGTCATTCCTGTCTTTCCTGCCAAACTGTGTCTTCAAATAGCTCTTTGTTCATAAACATGGAAGTGGCTTCCCACATATAACATGCTCAATACCAACGACACCTTGGCCTAGAATTCAAAGGTCACCACAGCCTAACCTCTGCCAAACTCTCCTCACAGCCTTTTAACTTTATTTTCCCAAAGGAAATCATGCCAAGTTTGAGTTTATATTTTAAAGCCAATCCATTTGTATTTGATTCACTTGTATGAAAAGTAAACATATATTCTTATAGGTGTTTATCTTAGTCTGTCAAGGTTGTTATAACAAAATAGACTCTCTATTGTATGACTTACAGTGAATGGATACTTATTTCTCACAGTTCTAGAAAGGGCAAACCCAGAAGTTGTTGGCAGCAAACTGAACATCTGGTCAGGACCTGTTCTTTGACAGATAGATAGCACCTTCTCAGTACAATGTCACATCAAGGGCTGAGGCTGTTTTTCCCCCTATACAAATATAAGGGCTCTGCCTCCATGACCTAGCACCCCTTCCTAATACCATCACTTCAGAGCTTAGGATTTTCAACAAATGAATTCTGGGAGGACACAAATGTTGAGACCATAGCAATTATATCTGACAACAGGCTACCCGGCTTAGCTTTCCACTATGATATCATTTTATATAAGTGAAAAAAAATTGTACACAATTTACTTTTCTCTAGATGTTATCCCATTGTATTTAGCAAAAAGATTTGCCTATTTAAAAAATTATAACCTGATAAGCTTTCTTCCACATTGCTATGTATATTTTTTCATAAAGATAACCTTTGTGGCTTCAGACTATTACATTTCCAATATGTCTTAAGTTTTCTTTATTTGATCTTAATTTTTATTAGTACGTTTACAGTACATAATGATTATATTCATGGTAAGGAGTTGGTACATGCACACAACACATCCTAATTCTTTTTATGTCCCCTTCCCCTCCCCTAGTGTCTTTATAATACTTCTCCATTATTTGGCCATTGAAGATTTCTTCCTCCTTTTATTCAGTTCCTGAAGTGTCTCCCAACCCATTAGATATCAAATAGGCTGAGTTCATGTCTCCCAATACCAAAGAACAGGCTCAGGGCCAAAGGAGGTTAAAAGTAGGAAAGGTTTAGTGAGCAAGGACGGTCCCAAAAGAGGTTGCTTTTGTGACTTTTTGTCCAAGGATATTTTATACAACAAAATCACAAGTTATGTATCTATGGGTCAAACTACAGCTAACATACAGGATTAAAAATACAATCACTTAGCTAATATTGATCGCTTAGCCAATAGGGAAGTGAAGCATATAGCAAGTATATATGGTGAGCATCAATAACCTTAGCTTATTTTACTGTAACTTCTAATGTAGAAAGAAGAAAAAGGATTCCTTAAAAGGGATGGTAGTATGGGCCAGGGTGTTCTAGTCACCCACCTATCCTGTTGCACTATCCGGGCTCACTGGATCAGATGCTGTTAATTACACTATAATCTTACGCTGCTGTTTATCTGGAGGGAAGCGTTCAAGCCTGGCTGGCCATCGTGTGTCCATCTTGTGACCTGGCTGTCTTCTAATTTTCCTCCAGCCACAATTTCATTGTGTTCATCCTCTGCACTGACTCGAAGGCCTGTTCCTCTTCCCTGATTAGTTTCTATCAACTGAGCTATCTACAATATTACTTTCATTCCTTGGAATGGTACTTTCCCTGGTTTCCTGGTTTTTTGCTCAGGCTGTTTCTTGGCTTGGAAAGAACACTGTGTTCCCTTCCTGACCGTTGTTAGGCCAAGGTGTAGCCTATGGGATGGAAAGAAATGGGCCACACTCTCTATCCAAGGAAGTTCACACCCTTGGCTTACATCCTACCCTGGCAGGTTGTCCTGTGGTCACCTTCCCCACTGCAAATGTTTGCCATGCACGAGGACAGACTTACCTTCAGAATGAGGAAGGGAGTTCAAGCAGCTTATTTTCTCGGGAAGTACTGACCTGCTACCATCACAACCTGACAGCAAAGGCACTCCGCTATTGAAGTACTGACAGACACTATTATTTCCAGATGCTGCACTTAGAATGCCTTATTTTGAAATAAATAATAGCCAGCACACATTGCATATTTCCTATGTGTTAGGCATGATTCTGAGCACTTTGGATAGTTCCGTCATGTCTCATTCTAACACTTATTGAGTCCATTGCTAATGAGTAAACTGAAGTACAAAGAGATTAAGAAATTATCCAAGACCACACCACTAGTAAGGGGGGCCTGAATTCAAATGACCTGGCATTGGAGCCTGGGTGCTTAATCAATGAGTATAGTTACATACTATGACTCAATCTTCCTACTCTCACTCTGGCCTACATTACTTTCAGAGCACGTATAGAAAGGGGCTACTGAGTCATGTTCTTATCAGAAACAATGAGCCTATTCCTCTGCTGGAGAGACCTGGTTCTAGCCGGCATTTGATCTGGCCAAGGGAAGTTTCCTTTTAGGACATGGACAAGCAGATCAATTTACTTTGTTCATGGTCATTCCCTGAACACAACAAGGGCAGCAGCACATCCTGGCCCCCATCAGATGAGGCTGAAAACACTTCTGCCTCTCCTTATTCATCTCTGTGTCCCTTGTGCCTAGCACAGAGCCAGCCCCTGGAAAGTTAGTGTGAATACGGTAATGTCACGATGGCTGGACTTGACTGAACTGGCTGTCTCATGCTCTCCCATGGGCATGAGGGCAGAGTTTGTTCAGAGCCTGGCAAAGGTGAGTCCAGTTACAATGTCAAGTCAGAAGGGAAATGAATGGTTATTGGCCTGTGGTTTACAGAAGGACTTCTGAACTCTTGAGGTTCAGAAAGATGTTCAGGGTGTCTCCACCAGGTGTACTTTCAGTATTTGCATTCCATGATAACTCTGCTAAGCAAATCTCCAGCCTCTGCTTCGATTCCTGAATGGGCAGGAATCGAACCAACTTATTCCACTTCTGTTTGGATCTATTAGAAAATAAGACATTTTTGTTGAGTGGAGTCTCCCTGTAGTGTCCATAGTTGGATCTAATCCTAACTGTAGTTGTTAGAGAACACAATGCCCTCAGGAGATTTGAAGTCAATCATTATTTTCTCCCTGGGTTGTTCCTTCAGGCTAACTATTCACACATGCTGTAATTCTGTCTTTTCTCACATGGGGTTCTGGCCCCTCACCAGTCAGACTTTTGTCCACAGACTACTTCCCACTTAGCTTAAAGCTCTCTCAGAATGGAACTGGACAACCCACTTTAGGGAAGACCACCATTAACCCGAGAGGAGACTATCTATAGTAAGTGCCAAGTCCAAAGCATGGCACTCTAACTTATAAGGAGTTCCAAAATTTGGAGTGAGTTTAGCTTTTAGTCAGAAGAGGATGGGAAAAACAGAATTAGTCATGTTTCTATGGTTGGGAAGAGGTGGTATTTTTTTTCAAAGCTTACTAGATGACAGGCATGATGCCAAACATTTAATATGAATTATTTCATTGAACCTACTCAATGATAATTGTAAGTGTTAGAGTTATAATCCCTCTTTCTCATCTAAATAAACTAAGGCTTAGAGATGCTTTCAGATTGTCTCCATCTAGTTGCTGTACAATGACGCCCTGGTCAGATATTAGCAGGGAATGATGGGTAAGGATTTGGGGCCTTGGCCAAGAGGGCAGCATCTGGGAGACACCACTTGTAACAGTGAAAGAGGGAGGGAGGGCAGGTGATAATAGGTCTGTAAGGCTCCAAGGACCCGAAGGAGCAATGAGCCATGCAAAGTCGATACTGAAAGATACGAAGTGTAGGGGAGTAGTAGTAACAGTAGTGACAGCTACTTGTTAAATGCCTACTAAACCAGGCATTTCAAATACATAATCTCCTTTAATCCTCACAATGACCCAAAAAGGAATTATGATTGCTATGTTGCAGATGAGGAAATTGAGACTGAGTGAAGACAAGCAAACTGACAGCTACACAGCTGGTGAGCAGCAGTGTCACGGTTTAATGCGGACAGCGTTACGTTTATGGAAGACTGTTGGAGAACGGAAGAGAAGGAAACTTATCTCCCTCCTATGAATGGGGATCGCAACTGAGGCTCAGGCAGTGCCTGGCTCTCCTCAGGAAGGATGGCACACCAAGTTCTGGATGTTATGCGGCTACCCTGGCTTAAGAGCTTCCTCACAAGAGGTGCATGGAAGCCCAGGACCTCAGTTAGATAACTATTTATAATTAGATGTTATTTCAGAATCAGAAAACTAAGGTTTGCATCATATTTTATTCCTCTGTAGTTCCTATTCTCCTGTTTAAAACAATTTGCTTTCCTTGGTCCAGTGGTTCATAACTGCTTGCCTGTATCACAATCAGCTGGGGGCCTGATTACAACAGAGTACTGAATACTACTCTCCAACCTTTGTAATTCAGTAGGTTTGGCCACAGGGCCTGAGACTCTGCATTTCTGTCATGTTAACAAGTGGTAACAAAGCAGCTTGTCCAAAGGTAAGTCTAAGGGGCCTGCCAGTTAGCTCAGTTGTTTAAGTGCCTGCTCATGTAAACAAAGTCAGGCGTAGGATACTGAGGTTCCAACTCCAGCTCCACTTGCCTTACTAGACCCACCCTTAAGGCAGACTGAGCCAGACTCCCCCTCCCCAAAAAAAATCCTTCTCAACTTTATGCAAAGGTCAGTTTAAGAATAAAATGTTTTATTTCACTGGCAAAACTACTTTTGAAATTTTCAACTTGACTTGGGTATGAAAAAGTAAAGAACAGGTAAAGGACTTGGCTATAGGCCGGAGGCACCAGAAGTAGTTAGGGTGCAGATTTACCGCTCTGTTTGTTGAGTGATTGTGGGAAGGGAACCCTTATGATCTGGGGAAGGGGCCAACCAAATTGATCAATGGATTAAAGGGCCTCCAAACTGCCCTGCTAGCCCCACCACCCTGAGGTGTGCTGAGATGGCAATTGAGACTGGGCGTGGTGGTGCGCCTGTAATTCCCAGCTTTTGGGAAACTGTAAACAGGTGGATCACTATGAGTTTGATCTAGTAGTGAGACCCTGAACACCCTGTAGACCCTTCCCCAAAATACAAAAATAAATAAAATAAAAATAAGAATAAATAAATAAATGTCTAGGGAAGAGGGAAGACACAGTCCAAAGGAACTAGCAATTCCTGATTGGAAAGTGGGGAAGCAAAGGGTCCAGAATAAGCCGGGCCAGGGAGCTGGACTGGTCAAAGGTCCAGAGATTTGGTGATGGCAGAGATCTGAGGAGGGCAGAAGTCAAATGGGGTAGAGCTGTTGTCCCAAGTAGCAGACTTCTGGCTGAGCTGAGGGAAAGAACTAGAAGAGTGAGAGGCAAGGAGCCAGGAGCTAGCTTCTAGGCTGTGGGCCTAGGACAGTCTGCAGATCACATTTCAGCTCTGACTCACTGCCTCCAAAAGCCAATTTCTTCCTCTTGCTGTGGCAGGGGCTGCCAGTCAAAAGTGCTCAGGAGCTGTCCTCTGACAGGAGTGAGGTAAAGTCCTTGCAGTGAAAAATAAGAAATAAATAAAAGAGGGAACAGGACCAAATGCTCTTCCCTTCCCTTGGGGGTGAACCTGAGTGTAAGCAAGGGTAGTCTGGTGGTTGATTTCTGCTGTTCTGTGTCCCAAGCTGCGTGCCACCTTCCTGGGAGGCTGCACCTTAGGCTGCCCTTACCACACTCACTGCTCCTGATGGAATTAAGTGGGCCTGGATGGAGGCCTTAGATGGAGGTTTATTTTCTTGGTAGCAAGAAAGTGGACAACTTTATTGTAGATAAATACTGTTTGTCAAACACAGAGTTCATGCCCTCTCCAGGGCCTTTGCATTGCTATGCCTTCCAATTAGAATAGGTCTCTCTCTCTCTCTCTCTCTCTCTCTCTCTCTCTCTCTCTCTCTCTCTCTGTGCTTGGAGACTGAATCCAGCTGAGCTGTATCCCCAGCCCTTTACAGATAAAGATCTTGCTAAGTTGCCCAGGCTGGCCTCAAACGTTTCTTTCTTTTGCCTCAGCCTCTTAAATACAGTAGCTGGGATTACAGGCTTATCCCGCTGCACCCAGCTTCCTCAGAGCCTTGTATGATTCTACCATCATCCTTGAATCACTCCTGAGAGGTGCTTTCTCTGACCTTTGGGAAACTCGACCATCTCAATTCTCTGAGTCCATTTACCCCATTATATTCTTCTTACAAAACACACAATAATCATCCTACTTTCTGCCAATCTCCCCCATTAGATTACAAATTCTGTGCGAACAAGCCCTTATCACTGAATTCCATACAACTGGTACATAATAGCAACTCAGTACTGATTTCCTTTCTATTCATTTATCCCTAGTGATTGCTCAGTAGAACTTTTCTCAGCTTCTGGAGCCATCCAAATGGAATGCAAGGTGCGTCTCCCTGGGGAAGAAGTTTCCAAGCCTGCAGTCTTCCTTCTATCCCCTTGGGCTGGACTGCGCAGGCTCTAACACGCACTACTGTCAAATGCTACTCAGCTCTAACTGTACTGGTACTTCAAACACCTTTTAAGTCGTCAGTGTCCTCTGCAAAGTCTGCCTTATGTCTCCCGTGTTACATAAGATAAAGTAGGCTTGGGGAGTCTGGCTTGCTCAAGGTCACAGTGAGCAGGTGTTGGACGGGGAGGGAAACCTCACCAGGCCCCAAAGCCCTTAGAGATCTCTACCTATGTTTCCACCACGTCCGATCCCTTGTCCCCGCAGGCCCTTTTCCTACGTTTCTGCTGCTTCCTCAGCCCATCCCTTTTCCTGTTGCCGGTCTTCTAGGTCTGGTCTAGCCAAGGCCAGGGAGGGTACTTCTGACGCCTGCAGGACAGAGTGGGCTGATCTAGCTCCAGGACCAGAGCTTTCCTTCCCGGACCCCCCACCGGCTCGGATGCTGGGTGTGCAAGGCCTACAGCAATCGCGATCGCCCAGGAAGGAGGATGAGGAAGGCTGGAGGCCAGTGGACAGCGCTCTGGTATAACGGTGCGCGGCTGAGTATAGCGGCACAGCGCCGCCCGGCCGCAGCGCGCAGGCGCAGCGCGCCCCGCCCCGCCCCCCCACCGCCCG